TTTTTTTTTGTCTTTTGTTTACTTTTCGTTTTCCTGATTTTTTTTGGTTTTATTTTCCTTTTCCTTGATCGCTAGCGACGCTCCTCCACTATTCTCCCGTTGCCGAGACTGCGCACGTAGTGGTATTGTTTTCCAGCTCTGCCCCATGCCACAATATAAGCAGAACTACAGGCATTGTTGTTTTTATTGGAAGTAGAAGCAGTACGTAAAACAACAACATAAGTGTCGCAGCATCATCAGGAGGAGACTACGGCTCGGTAATGGAAAGATTTGCACGTGCCACCACACAGATCAGTAGCGGTGAGGGCTTCACACAAAACTACAACAACACCAACAACAGGCGATACAGTCCACTCGGAAAGGAAGAGAGTCGATACGATGTTGTGAGGCAGCATCCGAATGAGTGAGTAAACATGAGCGGAAGAAAGACCCAATTGAGAGAAGTAGACCCGTGCGAGCAAATGAACGGCGATGAGTTCAGTGGGTGGCAGACATTAAAAGCGCAAGCAACTGACGCTCCCCCCCCCNCACACACATTTACGCCTCCCTCTCGCACTCTCTCCCATTTTGTTACGCACCACCCCATCTTCATTTCTTTTCAGTTTCACCTACGACCGTCTACATTCCTTTAATCCCGCTATCGTCCCACGCGAGACTACACAGGCGTACGCATCCCCTCGTCTTGTTTCTGTTGATGTCGTTCTTACCGTGCTACCCCCCTCTCATCCATCTGCGGAGCAGTTCTCGCACCACTCCCCAAACCCCCTTTTTCACCCCTAAACCCAAATCACCACTCGCGTCGCAGCAGAGCGCCGCCCGTCCTACTCATTCTTCTTGACGACCTCGTCAACCTTCGTCCGGATCGTCCCGACATACTTCTCAATGAAAGCCTCCGCCTCTGCAACCCACGCGTCGATCATGTCCTTCTTCTTCTCGTACACTGCTGGCAGGCTGAATGCCAACACAACGACCATCACCACGAGGGTGCCGTCGGACAGCATGTTGCCGAGGAAGCCAGCAACAATACTTAGCCCAAGCACCTGCCCTGAAGCGCGGTAGTCGTGCCACGTGGCGAGCTGGTACGCGTGCTGCAGGGCCGCAACTGCGCGTGGTGTGGCACAGTCAACAAAGCGATCGACGGCCCCGTGGATGTCGTCCTGCGTGAAGCTGCATCTCTTTGTGAAGCCAAGTAGCACCCCGACCAGGAGGGTCACCTGCAGAATGCGGCAGAGGAACGTCACCATCGTATACTCCATAAAACAGTAGAAGAGGATGATGGAGAGCGTGCTGCCAAGGAGGACACCAGTGACTTGAGGGCGGTGCCATGCCAGCACGTCCCACAGAGACATGTCCTTGCACTCGTTGATGATGCAAAAACCCATACTGTATGTATCCTTTTCTTTATGTGAGCGTGTCAGTATATAAGCCTGAATGCCTTTGTGGTCGAGACGCGGAGGGATGCTCTAGTTGAGAAGCCTGTCTTCTTTATTCAGTTGCACAGAAAAACAACAACGATGAAATGGTGGTGGGTGGGTGTGAGAAACAGAAGCACGAAAAGGACAAGACAAGACCAAGCAGGGCTCGCGACACCCAGCTAAGCCACCACCAAGGGGCATGGCAGGCGAAGAAGTAAATACCAACAAAATGCCCGCACTCAAGTGTTGCGCAAGAGCGCACCAAATTTGGGATAAAACATGAAAAACGACAACACACGTGTTGACCGCGGCTCATCAAAGCGAACGGATCCGTACGAATAATAGGATTTGCCAGCAAAATTAAACTCGAGAAGGAAACTCGAACTAGCAAACCGTTCCCGACCAAACATTAGCCCTTCGCCCATTTTCCAGCTTTATCCCCCTCACTCGTTGCCCGCATCTAAGTCGGGTAGGGCGAGGTGCGGTACGCCTTGTGGGCCAACGTGAGTGTCCAGTCGTCGTACTCCAAGCCCCCTGCACGCATGCGCTCTAGCACCGCCGCCACACTCTCAGCGACAGCTGTCGCGCCCATCCCCGGTGTCGGGCTGTCAGCGTAGAGCACCAGCAGGATGTGGTACAGCGTTGCCCCGGCACGGCGCTCAGTGTACTGCTCCCAGCGGTCCACCGCGGCGAAGCAGCGCGCCAGGTGCGGAGCACCGTAGCCCGTCACGCGGTGGTAGTGCCTCAGCGCCAGCGCCAAGGGCTCGCTTACGTCGATGCTGTCGAAGCAGTGGCTTTGCAACGCGCGGAGCAGCAGCTCGTCAATCTCTTCACCCGTCCTAGCACGAGCAAAAGCACCATAAAACATCTGCCGCATCTCACGGTGACGTTCCGCCAGAGACTCATGCGAATCGTCCGAGCGCTGTTGGTGCTTTTTGCATCCTTCACGCCCTGTGTCATTCTTTACCGCCGACGATCTTGATGTCTCACCGCTTTTACCCTCTCGCTCCTGCACACAGCGGGTGCACTCTTCGTAGGCGCAGTTAATGCGCCGGAATCCCTCATCGCTACCACCAACGTCGGGGTGCTCGGTCTGACACTTGACACGGTAAGCCGTCTTCACCTCGGTCATGCTGCTGTCTTTGCTCACGCCCAGTGTTGCGAAGGGACAGGGTTGTTTGGGGGCAGTTTCAAGCTCACATTGTGCCTTACTGCTGACACAGCGTTGCGTTGCATTGGGGTGAACGGCAGCGTTCGCCAACCGCAGCGACGAGCCTGCCGTAACCCTCGCGGCCCCCTTTGCAAACATGAAGAAGACACACTATGGAAGAAACACGATTTACCTTACAATGTTAGAGGATACCAGAAAGGGAAGGGTAGGAGAGTCTGGGTGCCTTCCCTACTTTTCCAGAAAACCTTTCCCCCCTTCTCTATTTCCGCGACACCTTTAACCCATTCTTCTAGCATTGTTTCGCTGTATTTGTTGCCCTGCGTGCCTGGTTTGTTTGTTTTGCCTCACCCGGAATGCAGAATCACACGTGTCGCTCAATGTGAGGCAACATCCCCTTCCCCGACTTCAGGTATTCATCGACTGAGCAGTTGGGCTGCAGCTCGCGGCACTGCGCCCAACGCGCAAGGAACTCCTCCTTGCAAATATACCTGGCGCCGTACTTCGCCTCAAACTGCGCCATGTAGCCCAAGCGTGAACCCCAGTACCACAGGTTGTAGCCGCAACACTGCAGCGCCTCGCCCAGCACTTTTGTGATGCCTGTTCCAAAGCTCTCCGTTGCGCGTTCAGCTGTGAACATAGTGAAGTCGTGATAGACAGAGCCGAGGGCGTAGCCCAGGCAGCCGGCCAAGACCTTCCCGCTCGCCTTCTCGAGCAACTCCACCGACATGATACGCACACCAAATTCTGGGGACTTCGCCATCGAGACAAGAATATCGATGTAGTAATTCTTCATCCACGTACTCTCCACTCTCTCCATATGGTAATCGTGTGCCAGGCGCAACGAGTCACGGATGTCTCGATTAACTTCCACTACGTAGCGACCGCACGAGATGAGCCGTCTGATTTTCCTACTGCTTCGCCAGGCGCACACGGCGTGCTGAAGATCCAAGCAGAATCGACCTCTTTTCTCATTTGGAAGTGCAAATACATGTTCCCCAAGCAACATTCCCGGAACTGCAAACAATGAGTGAAAAAAAAGATGATGCAACACTGTCCCTAATGGCTGATTCCACGTCAGCAAGTACATATAGTCCGTATTCTGCGACAATACACAGTCGAGAAAATCCTTGCGATAGAGGATACCAATGTTAAGAATAGCAGCTGGCCCCAGGAGGCTTGCGAAATCAGCGTAAGGCCTTGTGGAGACAATAATGGACTGCTCAGATTCTTCCAATGTCTCCGCCCCCAATTCCTCATGATTATTATTACAAACCTCTTCCTCCACAGGCGCCACTCCCGCCCCATCCACCTGCGAACCAGCACCTGCAAGTGTTACCCGCACACAATACTCGCTGCCTACATGAAGCGCCCACAGGGTTGCCACGTATCCACCCAACGGGGCGACAGAACGTCTGGCATGGAGTGGGAAGGACTGGCATGACGACGGCCCCCGAACGCCAGCGATTTCCTTGCAAAGGTGGATGCTAAATGGCTGAGAGCTGAATAGATCCACGTAGTTTTCGCCTGGCACCCACCAAACGCTCATATTTACTTTTTCCTTCGCAGACAGGCCATTCTACAAAAGAAGCGAAACAGGCGAGACACGCCGTAAGTCACCCACAATCAAAAAAAAAAAAAGCACACAAGAAATAAATAACACCAACAAGCACAAAAAAAAAAAGAACTATAGAGAGACGACCAAATATCTGCACACACGCA